AAAAAAAGAAAAAGAAGTAGGGGAGAGGAGAAAAACCGAGAGGAGAAAGGGAAGAGCGGCTCCCTGAGCGGGCCAGGCGCTGGCGAGGGGCGGCCGGGCGCGGGGCTCCRCGCGGCTCCGCGCGCTCCCCGCAGGCCGCGCAGTTGGCGCGCAGCTGGAGCGGCGCTTCCCGGCGGGACGCTCCCGCCCGCCGCAGCTGTCGCCGCTCCGCCCTCTCCCGCATGAGGCCGGTTAGGAGCCCGCAGCGGCGGCTCCGCGGGGGGTCCTGCCCTCGCTCCCGGTGCCCCCCCGGCCCCTCCGCAGTGGCCGGCGCAGCCGCAGCGCCCTGGCCTGGCCCGACGGCTGCTGCGGTGACGAGCGCGGCGGCTCCTTGGAGCAGCAGCTCCTGCGGAGCTGGAGGTCACCTGCTGACGAGCTTTTTTTTTTTTTCTTTTCCTGCATGCTCCTATTTTTTTTAATGCTGTGCATGCAGTACTCGTGCTGACGCACAGGGGCACGCCTCTCCGCTGGGAGAGAGTTCCTGAATTTACAATGACTCCACTGTCTAGCAAATGCCCTAGACTAAAGGAGAGTGCATCAAAATAGACATATACATATATATCCCTTGTCACCTAGGAAGGATAAGGCTTTGGTCACATAGGGTCGCGTTCCGGGTTGGGACCCGGGCTGCTCTCCCGAGGAGCTTGCTCGTTCTAGCGATGGACACCTCACTGCAGGCATTGCGAAATGCCAGCGCTTCCAGAAGCGGGCGAGTATAGACACACAATACGGCTCGGTTTATTGTATGCAGCAGGCACGCATCCAACAGAGCATCACAAAAGAATTACTCTTATCTGATGCCTCTCCAGAGGTGTGTGCGTGTGTGTGCGGGGAGGGGGATTCCCACGGGGCAGCGCCAGGAGAGGAGTTTACGCGCAGCCCCCGGGCTCCTCTTTGTCCTCACTCCTGCAGGAAAACTTCCTCCTGGCGCGGGCTCCCGCAGACCTCCGCGGGGAGGGACGTTGCCATCTCCCAGCCCCACGGAGCATCTGCCACCCGGCCACCTGGCCGATGCCCACGACAGCCCTGGGACGCCGAGCTCGCCGCCCGCTGCTCTGAGCGCGGGACCCCCGAAGCGCCCATCCCGCCGCAGCGCCTTGCCCAGCATGACTGAACCGGGAGAGGGGGAAAAAAAAAAAAAAAAAAAAAAAAAGAGACAAAAAAAAAAAAAAAAAAAAAGGAAAAAGAGAAAGCAAAGAAAGACAAGCAGCTATTTAAAGCCCGGGCGCTCCAAGGGCGAGAATAGCCGCCCCTCGAAGGTTTGCTTCCTGCAAGCGCGGCTGCAGAGCCATTTCTAAAAACAGGCGCCCCGAACAGAGCGGCCGCGCGGGGCCCGGAGCAGCTGGCGGGGGCTGCGCGGGCGGGCGCGGAGCGGCGGGCGGGCGGTGCGCGCAGGGGCGCGGGCCGCGCTGCACCTGCCGCCCGCGCCGCCCCGCGCACCCTCCGCCCGCGCGCGCCCCTTTGCGCAGCGAGCAGCGGGGGGCACCTGCGGCCCCCCAGAAGGGACGGGGAGGAGGGACACAAGGGGACCCCCCCGCGGCCGCCCCTGCCCATCTGCGCCCTTCGGGGAGCAGCGCGCGCAAGCGCCGCACCAGCAGCCGAACGCGAACGGCGCCGCGGAGCAAGAGCGCGGGGCTGAGGTAGCGCTCGGCGTCTGGCGTGGAAACACGGAGCGAAAAAAAAATAAAAAACCCGACCACGGGACTTTGTTTTTACGAGCGAATTGAAGTGCTGTCAGGTCGCTTCACTCGCGAGTTAACTCCTTCCCGCAGCGCGGAGTGGCGCGCGCACCGTCCGCGCGGCTCCCGCGGCCCCGCACACGCGCCCCCCGCGGGCGCGCAGCCGCCGCCAGCGCCGCAGCCTCCAGCCTCGCTGCTGAGTCACAGCACGGGCTCCGCACCCGCGCAGCTGCCCCCGGGCCGGCTACCTGCGCGGCCCGGCCCGGCCCCGCGCCCGCCGCTCGGTCCCTCGCTGCGGATCCAAGCGCGGCCGCTCCGCGGGGCGCGCAGGTAGCCCGGGAGCGAAAACGAAAGAAAAGGTTGCGTTAAAGTGCGCGCCGCGCGGCGGCCACTCCCTTGGGGAAACTCGGCGGATGTCAAACTGCGGCGGTTAATGATTAAAAGCCCCCTTTAAACTCGTGCAATCCAAGCGTTCGGTGGAAACGTCCGGAGCAAACACCCCCCCTTCCCCCCCGCACCTCCCCGCACCCGCGCAGGGCTCGGCCCCGGCTGCCGCAATCCCGGGCACGCCGCAACCTCCCCCCCCGCCGCCCGCATCGCGCCCCCCCCGGCCGCCCCTCTGCCCCAAGCTGCATGGGGGCACGAGCCCTAAAGGGTTAAGGGTAGATACCTACCAAATCTGCTGTGGTCTTGCCTCGTTCCCTGGATAGTACCATTGGGGAAGATTTCTAAGTGAAATCCAGTCCTGCAGTATAGCTGCCTCCGTCGGAGGATCCCCTTTAAATGGTCCAAGTCCGTGACCGCCGGCCCCCTGGGTAGCCCACCTGCCTCAGACTGACCCAGGTGGTCACTTAATAAAACCGGACTATCCACCGGCAAAACGGGCACATTCCCAAAGGCTACTGCATCCTGCACACCGAAATAGTTCCCAACTTCACCTATGGGAGCCATCAGAAGATTCTGCTTTTAGAGAATAAGAATAAACAATAATGATGGTGCCAAACCCAGGAGATATGAGATTAGGTATATTCCACTCCTCTCCCCTCCCTAGCGCAGTTACAGAGAAAATGTTCTTTCTTCAATCCATTAAATGCATAAATAAAAGTAATATTCTGTTTTGACTGGTACAGGTTCAAGGTCAAACCAGTTAGTCTAAGAAACCACCACTTTATACTCACACACTGACATATTTATAAACATATAGATGTGTATATCTATATATATGCATATATCCCCAGCTCTTAGCAAGCAATAAGGTCTTCAGCCCATCCAATCGTAATAAAGAAAAAAATCCGTAGTTTCTCCATTTGGTTTAAGATAAGAATGACCATAGCAACTTAAATACCTAGGCGTTATAGGGATTTTTTTTTTAAGATGCACAGGCTACGTCAGGATTTATGGATTCTGACTCCAGAAAGGCATGCGCTGTTTTTACTCTATAACAGACTGCATACATCAGCATGAATCCCGCAAAGGGGGGAGGGGGGAAATCTCACGTTGTTGGCTGAGATAAATCCAAAAAAAAAAAAA